AATCATGTCAGAATCACTGAATTGCGATCATTCCGAGCATTTTTTATGCTTTTGTTGTGCTGACGCGGCTGCAGCAGATACGGAACCGCTGAGCCGCAAGGAGAAGTACAAATCCTGGTAGGACACCTATGAATTGTGTATTATATATACTTTTTAGACATATCCATACATTAATCCGAAATTTATTTGACTGTGCGCACAATTTTATTGAACCATTGATAGGCTAATTATCCATAAATTTAAAAGTTAAAAAATTAATAAAAATAAAAATAAAACATAAAAAATATAATGACAGATATAAAAGTCACAATAAAGTGTAGCAAAAGTATGATTCATAAAGTGGCCTTACGATACGCGCCCATTTATTGAAATTGCTGAGCACTACGTGTGCCCCGTAGCCTTATCATGGCGCGCTCAGTGCCAAACTTGTATGGCTATTGCTTGTATTTCATTGTAGTGACTTTAAATTTCGCTTTGTGATAAGCGCAGCAAAATAAGAGGTGAAATATATCGACGTATCGGTTGAACGGCTTTATGTCCAGTCATACATACATATACAAGTAGATATACGAATAACTTGTTTTGGTGCTTGTTCCACAAGGCGACAATATGTTTTTGTTATTCTTTTTTTTTCGTGTTTTTGCTAATCTATGAGTTCAAATTCTAAATAAATTGCGATTACAGAGCAAAGAAAATATGGTAGTTTACTTTATGAGGTTATCTGTTAACTTGCTGAATGCTTTCAATATCGTAACGCAATAACTCGAAGTTTTGAATAAAAAAAGTGTTGCATAATGTTCAGAATAAAAATAAGAAGTTCAACAAGAATTTTCGAGTAAACAAAAAGTCAATGAAGAAATTATTTTTCCTAAATGTCGGAAATATTTTAATGCATATTTGATGCTGTGACGCTGTATTCAGGAGTAATTAAGTAAAATTCCATCAAATAATGAAATTATTATGAAAAGTTATGGTCTATTGCTGTTTTTGGGTCGAGCAATTTAGGTTTGATGTTTATTTTTTACAAAAAGCTTGGTTGTGCTGGGATAGTCCTTTTCTATTCTTTAATGGATTTTCACCGAAAAATTGTATTTTTACAGTATTGTTGCTGAGTAATATATATACAACCATCATTTTATTATTATTATTTTTTTTTTGTTAAAAATATATTTCTGTTTATAAAATTAAAAAATATTTTTTTTAGCGATTTAACTGCTTTTTTATGAAAGTGAGCTTAATGGATGTAATTTTTATGCAAAAAAAATTTTGTAATGAAACAAAAAAAATTGGAAATAATAAAAAGCAATATTTATTTAGTCTTGGGTACTGAATATTTCAAAACAACTGTGTAACCGTTCAAAAATGCCACATACAATCATGAAAATCAGTGAAATTGTTCTATCTATTTTCTAAACAAATATTTAGAATCAGAAAAAGCCAAACAAAATATCAGAGGAATTCGTTGTTATTTTAATATTGTAGTTTGTAATTTTTATAATAAAAAATTGCATAAAATACTCTGTTATTCTAAGAGTGAGGGCTTTACTAGTCTAAATGATGCAGCATTTCGCAAATAAAAGTGAAAACAACAAAAAAAAATAACTTCGGTTGCACCAAAGCTATAATACCCTTCACAGGTGAATTTTTTATAGCAAAAAAGTATATAAGATCTGTATGGGATATATGTGAATGGCAGCTACATATATGCTATAGTGGTCCGATCTGAATAATATATTTGGAGGTTGTACCGATGCATTGGATATTAATTTATGCCAAATTTCGTGTAAATACCTTTTCAAATACAACAGCTTTCGATACAAGGACTTAAGTTCGATCGGTCAGTTTATGTGGCAGCTATATGCTATAGTGATCTGATGTTGGCAGTTTCGACAAATGACCAGCTTCTTGGTGAGAAAACGACGTGTGCAAAATATCAGATGGATATCTCATTAACTGAGGAACTAGCTCGCCCATTTACAGGCAGACATGGCTAATATATATTATAAATATATATATATATATGTATATACTTTAATTGTCTTCGACGTTTCCTTCTGAATGTTACAAACATCGTGGCAAACTTAATATATCCTGTTCAGGGTATGAAAAGATAGCTACCAAAATCTTCCACACCCTCTCTTTCTCTCTTTCAAAACTTTAACTGAAGTATCCTACGAAAAAGCGTGATCACCTTCAGATTAAAAGTCAAACTAGTAGTCTAAATCACTTTGGTTGCTAAACCATCAAGATATCACACTAAAATTTCCAGTTATTTATAATTTTTCCACAATTTGGAACTTATTTTAAATTTTCAATATTCCGTACTCTACTGTAAAAAATACCTTTGTAGATCTCTGACATGAGTATTATATTTCTATAAAACATTATGAAAACAATGTCAAATTTCAAACACTATATATGAATATTTAAGTTGCAGCCTCCGCAAAATCGTTCCAAAAAACTCTCAATAAAAGTATTATTGTTTATTTAATTGCAAACAATTAACTTCCAGCATACTAAAAATGCTAATAATTTTGCCTTGTCACAACATAAGTATTTCACTTTATTGTAGCTAAATAGTTTCTAAGCAAAAGCGAATTTCATCATCATCTACCACACCCAGGCGCGCATATCAATGAAAATACTTCAAATAAATAAATTTATTGACATTTAGTAAATATGGTCATTTACATATTTTACTTTTTGCATATCGCCTACTGTTTTTTCACGCATGGTCTCCTACCACCACCACTGTCGTTTTGCCTCATGCTCTGCCCAACACAAATTAACATGTGAACTGTCGGCGCTTAGCCAAACAAAACACATCCTTATTTACTTAACTTTCAAGACGATGAACGCACCACAATAGACGCGTTCGACACGCCACTAATGAGTCGCCAAATATATGACTAAGGCGACGACCTCAAACTACACCCCCAACATTTACACACATATACATACATACATAGATGTTAGTATGTACTTAGGCACATTTGTATGTACAAACCGCACACGTGTAGCAAATGCGCACAGTACTCGTGCCACAAAACTCCTACACATTATCGGAGGAGTAGCATGTTGTACGGACAGTGGATCCATGTCCAGAATATGTAAATGGAAGGGGAAACGACGTCGATTTTATACGTGTTGTTGGCGTTGGTGTTAGAGGCTAAACGGTATATCAGCTACCAGCATTTTAGTTGACCGAAGACAAATACATAAATAAGAAATAATTGCTCTACTATACCTACCCTGTAGGAAAAATTCACTTTAAAAAGTGTGTGTTCTTTGATTATTGTAAAGTTGACGGTAAAATTAATATATCGTCTCAATCTATCACTTCTCAGCTAGGACCTTAAATTCGCTCGATAAGTGCAATTGTTATGCTCGCATCTGGAGATTGGAAACCGAGCACATTTTACTTAGAAAATGCTGCGAAATCACCATCAGACTATCTTTCGTAATCGTATTATACGCTATATAGTATAATGCTAGAACTTTGTCGTGAGATTAAAAATGTTTTCGCCAAAAAACCAGCATAAAATCTTGGAAATCTGCACTAGCAAAGTATTTTAAACACCATTTACATTTTATGTGTCGATAAAACTATTTCTTAACAGTGAAGAGGGTATATTAAGTTTTAACACCTAGCAGGAACGTCGGAGACCCTGTAAACTATACATATAAATGATCAGCGTGACGAGCTGAGTCTGTTAGCCATGTCCATAATAAGAGAATTCCGCCGATTGTGTTATTTTAAAGACTTTTTCCATCAGTTTTTTCCAACACATTAATCGAAGGATATTTTCTTGAATCTTATTTCGCAGCCAAAGGAGTCAGATTCACTAGTTTGTAAATTATTTTCAATACTCAAGGTCACCCAGTTTTCTCTACAGGGTCACATTGATGAAAATATGTTAATGTGTTTTTTGTGACGCTTTTGGTGTTGTCCTATCTAGTTCGAGTAACTTTGGTAAATAAATTTTCATACACACATACTCGTACATATATGCATAGATATGTGTAGATGTGGGGGAAAATGTTGTTGACAATGAGACGGTGCGGTCAACCATCCAATTCCGGACTTAATTTCCACATTTTTTATGACTTCCTTCTTTCCTTCCGTTTAATTGTGCGCACACAATATAATGATTGAACGAGTGAGCAGCATGTTGATGTAATGTTACTCCTGCATAGCTACCGCTCACACACACACTTTGCATTTATAGGTGGGGGCAGGCGTCCGAGCATGTAAGGCACACGACCATGTGCCAACTATGAACGATGTTCATGCTTCTGAAGAAATTAAGTTTGGCCCGAAATTCCGTCAATTTATGCAAAAGTTTAAGAATTTTGAAATTCTCGAAAGTTTAATGCGATTTCCTGTACTTAAATATCATTTTTTTGTTTTTCTTTCTTTTAATAAAAAATCTTATTATCTGTAGATAGCTTATCTATAATTTCTTCAGTGAGATTCTTTTGATGACCGGAGACAACTCATGAGCCTAAGCTCGCCCAAACGTCTCTACATTAATGTAAATTTAGTTTCAATATCAGAAAAAAACATTCGAAAATTTTAAAGTACCTATCGCCGATATATGGTTATTTAACAAAAACATGTACCTACCAGATTAATGAACTCATCACCTATCGAATAGACGTCATTCCAAAAGTTCAAACGAGGGCATTTTTTCTACTAAGCCAAGGTATCCTCTATTAATGTTTCGATCAGAATTATGCTTCGATTCGCACAGCGTAATATAGCCCTCATCAACCTATTGAATGCTAGAATCATCCGTTAAAACTTTGCTAGAAATAACACTTCCGCAATTGTCTTTTAATTACACTCGAAAACAGATGCATGTGTCTGGAACTTTATTGACAATTGACATGTTGGCTCTAATATCTTTAGTTTTTTAATCATTTAGATTAGTCTTAATTTAAAATTTTATAATAATTTATTGCACGAATTAACCTTTCGATAACTTTTCTATTCGTAGGCCAAAATGGTTTCCTCTACGCAAACACTCACAGAACAAGAACGAGAAGTCACCAGCAGAAAAACCACTTACCAAGAAATCCTCAGAGAAGAGCTTAAGAGTAAGTAAACAAATAAAAAGCATTATACTTAATACTTATGGTAGAAATGAATTATAGGTTTTTTTTCACATAGCCCCTAAATGAAGTCAATTAACGAGTTATGACCATTGAATTGACTATTAGTCACTTTAAATTTCTATGGCTTTTTTGGAATAAAAATCTTGGTATTATCTTCATCAATGCAACTCTTTAAATACAGAAATTATTTATAGAATGGCATAAGCGGCGTTCCAGATAGCAAATTGTTAACGCTAAATTGACTTAATTAGTTGCAGAAGTTTTTGAAAAAAAAAAAATTTTTAATATCTGCAACTGAAGCCCCTAAAATTCCTAAAACAATTATAGATAGAGATTATGAGCATTTCAGATAGCAGCTTAATTTCGTCAATTAACAAATTGTATACCATTAATTAACTTTATTTATTTATTTGAATTATGTCGATTTTTTCGGAATAACATTTTTTTCATATCTCTGCACTAAATTGACTAAGTTTGTTATAGTTTTGGAATATCACTTGAGCCCGTAAAATACAGAAAATAGTTGTAGACTGTACCTTAATTTAGCCAATTAGCGAATTGTGTATTAATAACCACATGAAGAAGCTGCCTAAAATAACTAAAAGAAGTTTCAGACAATCACTTTTTTATGAGACCGATTATTTACTTTATCTTTACCATATTTTCAACTTGAATTGAGAATTTCAATTTACTACTTTATGCTCCAAGGAAAAAAAATGTATATGTAGCCATATAAATATAAAGTATGCTTTCCTTGATAATTCAAAAGACACAACCAATAAAAGCAATGTCATCGCCTTTGTTACATCCACTCGTGTCCAGTAAACTTAATTTAATTTATTTCTTTGTTTTCATAATACTTTCTCCCATACTTAGTTGACACAAAAACAAAGCGAACAGGATGAGAAGAACCTTTCAAGTTCAGCCACAGCAAGCAGTCGGGGTCATTATGGCACATCGGCGGCGACATCACAGGCCAATGCCGCACAAGCAGCCGAGTACGAGGCCGAGGAAGAAGCTGGCCTCGAGCTACCGCCGCCCATGAAACCGCTACAGGAGCCCCACTTAATGGCCAACGGTCCGCCCGTGTTCGCCAAGGATCTCAAAGAGAATTCCAAAAACTTGGTAAGTCAATTGACAAATAAAATTCGACGTGAACTCTCCGGAAGTGGATAATTTGACATCAATGATGGTTGAAATGAATTTAAGTTATACTTTAGTAGTTTCCGACCTTGTGCTCTCTTGGCGTGTACATACGTCGGTATGCTGTTTAGTTATTGCTGTACACCAGACCATTTGCCATGCAAAAGAGCCAACATTTATGATTAGCCATAAACTCTTAATGTATTATCCTGGCGCATCGCATTACTTATGGCGCCGCGGTGGCGCATTTCATACTTGGAAGTTTGAGGTTAAAAGAGTTCAATGGTTTTGCCAAAGAAAATTGCGTGCTCTTAATGTTCTTAAGAAAAATGTTGTGTATTTAATTATGTCCAAAGGAACAATTCGTCATTTATGCTGCGAAAGTGTTATCACAAGTGTCGCTATGTCTTATGGCCTCGCACATTCTTCAACATTTCGCCGTGGCTCTGTTGAAATGTCATTTCTCAAAATGAAGTAGACTGCATTTTTTGACGATATTCTCGTACAGACTATTATTTGTGCCTTTTTGATAAGAAATGAGTAATGGTTAGTTTTCAATTTCGTTGAAAAAAGCGTTATTCATGCGTCCTATTGCACCCGTTTTTGTTTATTGTTTTTTGTAATTTCCCCAAAGGCATATAACAGCATTTCATCTATCAAAGCGTATGTATTCTAAGGAACGAAGTGTATTGCGCCTCGATAGGCAAAAGGAGTTTGTGGCGATTTTTTTCGATTACATTTCATTTCGTTTATTTTGATGGCTTTATTAGTAATTAGAACGAGGTTGGCTACGGTTGCTGTATTGTATTATCTTCTAGATATTATTTCAAGACCTCATTTACAATTGAGCTGCTTATTTTCGTTTTACCATCCTAAATTCGCCGAACATATAACTTATAGTTCTGCGAGCCATCAATCGCTTATCAAACATTGAATTTGAAGTTACAGGGAGCACATAGTCTTGACAATTTCTTTCTGTCGTCCCGGCAATGTTTTTTCTTATCTTGCGAAGCAAATTTTTTTCCTCCAGTACCATTGATGGATTAGTTTGTTTACCAGTAGTAGTTGTTTGCTCTGCTTTTGTCCTTAATTTCATTTTTATATTGTTCTGTGTGCTTCAGTGATTTTATTATTATAAGGCGCTGGCCGTTGTCTCTGTTCGTGCATGCGCCACAAGTTGTTGCGTACTTAATTCGAATAAAGCATCTCCATAATGGTGTGAGCATTTCGCACTTGTAAACTAAAAGTTCCGTAGACTCATAAAATTGGCACTCAAGCCGTCATGTAAATTTTAGTATCTGTAGTAAACAAAGAAATTGCTCCCACTTAAAAACTAATAAAAGAAGGCATTAAATAAATGTAGCCTTACAACTCAAATAATTTCATATTTGCATAAGGTGACCCAATTGACTAGTGTTTGGCTTTCAATGCCAATATTTATTTGATTTTTTTATGATCAGTTTTATTTAATATTTCAAATATTGTATGATCGGTGATTATATCGTGAACATTACTAATAAGTCATCGATAATATTTTCAAATATAATTAAAATTTATTTATTGAATAACTTTAATCGATATTTGGCAATTCAAGCGTTTATCGTAGCAAAAGGAACGAATTTATGTGTTTTAATATTTTATTATTTTTGGATGCATTATTTAATGGAAATTTTCAGTATAGTCATTGAGTCCTCTATTGTCTATAAGTTAAGTTCAATCTTCGTTAGTGATCTTAAATTGAAGTTCGATTCATTTTCAAAAAAAATTAAAAATCTAATCAATTTCGATTTAAAAAATTATTGACTGCCTTTAAGAGCGTCATAAATTCGTTTTCTGATCGTCCTTCAACTCATCAATTATTTATTTGTAATTACTTTTTATGTTGCCTATATACCATATAGCAACTGTTAGTGCAAATATTTTTAGCGTCGCTGTGGTACAATTTATTTCCGCTTAAGTTTTTTTTTCATTCAAAATTATCTTATGGTTCACCGCTTTTCTGCTAAGTGTCCTACTTTAAGTGGCTAAAACAAGTGTCAGTCGTTCACCGTATATTTAGCGCCAATTAGGCGTCTAATTAGCTGGTCAAACCTATGTTCAAAAATTTTTGTTTGTTTATATTTCAAATCAAGTGTGTGTGTGTTTTTTATGTTTATATATATATTTTTTTTTATGAAAAAAACTACACGCTGGCGTGTCGTAGGCGTTTTGCCAAATACCACTCCCAGCAAAAAATACCAACGCACGCACAAACACTTGCAAGCCCATACATAAATATATGATATGTATATTTGCAGTTATATTGCCTTGTATGTGTAAATTTAGAACACACTTGCGGGCGAATAAACCACTAATATTTGCTCTTGAATTTATGCATAATTTTTTTTAAAGAAAATCTTATGCAAATAAATGTATATATGTATGTAAACAGGCATTTTTTTGAAAAAAGGTTATCGAATGTTATCGTCTAAATATTTATCGCACTTTCCGCATGGCCACTGCACGTCATTATACAAACAAACCTTCACTTTTAGAGCTGAATCATCTTTGAAATTTGCAACTAAAAACAAAAACAAAGAGAATTTGTAGTGAAACACCAAATTTCATATTCAAAATATTGAAATCATGAGGATTTAATTTGAAAATAAACACACTTAGCCGCATTAGGACAAATCGGACATATTGATACGGTACACTTATAAACTACTTGGGGAATAATAAGGAAGAGAGGCGGTCAGTCGACACTTTTCTTATGCCCAATAATAACAACAAAGAAGCAGCGGAAACACCCGCAGCTACTAAATCTTGTTGAGCTCTTGATTAGTGAAAAGCATAAAGCTTATATAGACGGACAGGTAGAAACATACACGCACATATTATAAAAATATATATTTATAAATAAATATATTTTTATATATATGCGCGTACACGGTTGCCATTGGGTCAGTCAGCCAGTCAGTCATTCCGCGCATTTATTATTTTTTAATGAGATGTTTGCCTTTGCTTCAGCGTATTTATAGATGTTTGTATGTACGCAAACACCAGGCACATACTTTCATACTTACAATATTATTTATATGCAACTGACTTTTTATTTGCCTAAAATTTAGCTTTTCAGCGGTCGCACTCATCTCACGCTACTTCATAAACGGCGCTGAGCTGAACCGATCGGCTCGGGTGTGAGAACCACAACGCATATTTCTCGCAAGCGATTCAGTTCGCATTTGCCCTGCTGTCAGAATGCTTTCTGTAGCCTTTAGTATTTATGTACATTTTACGCGAAACGCATCGTTAAAAACGATTTTGGCGAATTTCACGCGTGCTTGGGATAAGTGAATTTTAATTATTGCTGAAAAAAATTTTTGAAATAGAAACAAAAAAAGTGTTTATTTTTTAAGTGTGCCCACAAAGGCTATTTATAAATTGTAAAACCAATCTCTGTACTTAATTGTGCACTTTCGAAAAAGAGTTCACAAAAAATTCTTTATTAATTTAGTAGTCGTTTAGTGTACAATACAAGTGGCTTGACCACTTGCGCGCACAAAATAAAAGAAGCTGGCATACGAAGACCGCAGTGTTTGGCGAAAGCTTCGTCGCAAAGTGCACAGTGTATTCAGCACAGTTATAGTAAGTCTCATAAGCGCGTTAAGAAGCTACAATAAATGTGTATATGTGTAAAGCTTCGAAAAAAGTGTCCTGGTAAACACCAAAGTATTACTTTCTTTGCTGAAATAGTTTTAAAAAAGTGCGGAATTAGCGCTAAAGAGAGATGCTGAATAACAGTCACCACTGAATTCAAGTGAATAGTTGCATGTGCCTGTCTGCAATTCCAGAACCCCAAATATCCGTTAAAATGCCAACTAATGGCAGCATGTTTGATTTGATTTAAGAGGGTTATCCCGTGGTTTAAAGGTTTTTTCAGAATTTTTTACAGTGAAATGAAAAAACACAGAGCTACCAAATTTTTACTATATATTATATTTATTCAGCTCTTACCTGTAACTTTGAATTTTTAAGTAAAAATATTTTGTTAATTGCAAGATTTAGCGCTCCAATGGCACCCGTGTTGAAAAAAGGTAGACAAACGGCGTACATGATTCCAGCAGACTGGCTAGCGTAAAGTAAAAAAAACAAATTGCATGTAAATCTGTTAGTAAATGGCTATCGCCGGAACTGGGATCTTTAACAAACCTTGAAAATGAAATTTTTTAAATGCTTTTAAACAATAAAACCCAAAATTTCATGATGTTTTGCTATTATTTTTTTTCTGAAAAAAGGGTTCAATATTTTTCAAAAATCCTGATTCGGACGATAGCCACAAGTGTGATGAATCTACCATTAAAATTTTAAAGCAATCGATGGCACCGTTTTTGAGAAATCGTGGACGCCAATTTAGAAAATATAGTTTCGAGAAAAGCAGGTTTGAAAATTCAGGTGTGTAGGCCACGCGCTCTAAAGACCTTACTTTCGCATGACTGTAACTTTCCAACTACATTCAATTATGAAAAATTACTTTACCAGCTCATTCTATAAATGCTCTAGATTGGATTTATGCAAAAAAAACGATTTTTTTGAAACCGTCACACGGGATGACCTCCTTAAACATCTGTAGTAGACTGCATCAAATCTGACGAAATGCTAAAATTTTATACTTATCTGTTTATGTTCAAATGTAAAGCCAATCCCATAAATATGGTATATTTTTTACTGACTCACGCTTAAGAGAGCAGCGATTCCTGCTAATCAATTTTTAGCGGTTTTATAGTTATCAATTGATGTGATGACGTCACGATAGCGCATGTTTACAAAATTGCAAATCTACTTGTTCTTTATTTGATTGCAAAGTAATAACTGTTATTAAAAATATAAAACATGGCTCCTTAAGTCTATAAAAGTCTCCCTGCTGTGAAATTTGTGTCAATTTTTAATATTGATAAGATACTAAAAAATGATCCAGCTAACGATGTGTATGAATGGCGGTGACTGGAAAATTTGTGTATAAAACTTTTCGCTGGATTAGAGATCGTAAAAACAAGAGAAAACAAATGCCCCTAAAAAAATTAGAAAACAAAACTAAAAACACCGCTTAAACAGCTTCTTTGGCAAATTTATTTCTTTGTGTATTATTTTCGTCTATGCAGCTACATCTGGTCCGAAAAAAATCATAAGAGGATTGAGAAAGGATTGGAAGAAAACTGAAGTAATTGTTGAAACTCTTGAATTGATTTAAGGAGCGCAATTCAAAGACTATATTAAAGATTTGTATCCAGAAAATCTGAAAATGTACTAACAGTGCGTGGCAAAATTGATCAGTTGGTATTATATGATGAATATTTTGCGCAGAAAATCTATTTGCGCTTTTTTAAATTTATTTTTCTTTGTTTCAACAAAATATCCTTCAAGCCTTCGTAATTAAATATTTAAGGTTACTATTTGAATTTTTTATTCGAAGGAGTATGAGTACGGACCAAAAATCCGAATTTCAGGATCGGAAGAGTCTATATTTTTAGCCAAATTATCTATATTATCTGTAAGTAAGGCAGCATTTAACTCATATCTGTAAATGAAGCACTTATTACCGATTTCAACAAAATGTTTTTAAATTATTTAAATTTCTATGCTCAATTCCCATTGAACGCTTACCTAAAACAATTAAGAAAACCATAAAATACCACTGAAGTTTATAATGTTATACGAATTCATAGCTATATATTATTGTATATAGCTCATTAAAAAAATAAAATATTTCGAAGAAATTTCCGTTCGAGCCTGTGAAAACTCACTGCTCTCTCAGAAAATCTCTAGCATGTCACTTTCTTTATTGTTCTAGCAATTTTAAACACTCCTCTTACACCTTTCGCTTCACTTCACCCTCCACAGCTTACAATTTGTTTTGATTTATTGCGAGAAAAGCATGAAATGGATTAGCTGCTCTCAATCATTACCACCACGAGTACTTGCCTACGTCCAATAATGTAATGTCTTGTCATTCACAAAATACTTTTTACATATTCATAGGCAACTTGTCTGGCTGGTAGGTGCATTTCGTAAGTGAGTGCACACAGAACGCACTTAATTACGAACCGACAAATCACATCAGCAACACGCTGTCATATGCGACGCGACTACAATAAATACGTGCGTATATTTTTAGTGGCGCATTGTAGAGAAATACGAAATTTTTTTTGTATATATTTACATACACATGCATACTGTGTGTGAAGCAGTGTGCACCTGTGTAAGTGCTTTTGTGGGTGTACATTAAGAAAGAATGGAAAACAGGAAACGCGCGCTTTCAGATGCTTTTCATTTCATTACTTCGTGCAGCCAATTAAATACTTTTTAGTGCACACTTACACACATGCACATACTTTTCGAAGGAATGAGCGCAATTTTCAGCCTATGCGAACTGTTTATTTATTTGCTGTCAATGCAAAAACTTCCATTGCTTGAAGCTCTTGAGTTAATATTTATTAATTACATGTTGTGTTGTTCTGCTTTCAATGGCTGAGGTCGCTTTTCATCAGCTTACCTAGTATAAAAAAATAAGTGCTAAAGAAACTCCATAGACCACATATGTATATGGTATATGACCCCGATCGCTCGACTTTTCCGTAAATTGTATATTTATAAACTTTTTGCCTTTAAACTCGCTTTGGTCATAAATTATTTCTATTGAAGTTATTTTTGTAAAGGCAATATGAGAGAGAGATGTATCGTAACATAACCTTCAAAACAATTTTCTTTTGTAGTTTCTATTATTTACAAATATACTATCACTTTTCATTTTCAACAGATTTGCTATCAAGATTTTTGGATTTTTAAATTGTATATTTATTATTATTGTATTTTTTTGTATTAAGTCACTTAAAAGAAACAACATCTTCATAATGAACTGCAGTGCTGTAACTTGTCTAGTATATTTTTTTTAATCTTTACGGTCTCAAGTATTCTATTTCAAAACATCGTAATCTTAAACAAAATATTATTCTTTCAGAAAATAAATCTAAAAAAAAAACATTCAAAGAACCTCAAATCTTCGATACATTTACTAAATGAACTTTTTGAAATGGCTTATGGAATAGCACTCTTGCTCTTGTTTTACATTTTTCTAGCGTCTTGTTTCTTTGAAAACTCCAACTCATACCAACTGATCAAATTTGACCCGGACTGCCCTCCTGAGCCAGTACAAGCATGCTAACGTTTATTCCAATTTTTAATACACTTATAAGTCGTGGCTGAGATTGCCTTCAATGAATTTTGGTTTTTTTCTGTTTCGTCTATACCCAAAACATTAACCAAAGTGTGTTGAGTTGATCCATAAGAGATCCTCTGCATACTTAAATACTTGTGTGATAAAGTAGTACTTCTTTTGTAGTAGTGCAGACTTCTGCAACATTTTCAACGATTAGGTAGTAATTCCATTGAAAACACAAAATTTTAGGGAAACTCGTTGTTCAATTTTTTCCATAATAAAAATCGACAGTATATAATCAGATTGACAAACAAATCGTTCATTTTGGTTTTGTGAGACTTGCTTTGTGTTTTTTTTGCGGTATTGGACTGCAGTAATGTGTGTCACATTAAAAACTATATTTCATTGCTTGAACTAAAGATTTATACGATTTTGTTAAAAACTCATAAGCTCTTCGAAATAGCGCAAAGTGCAAATATTAAAAAATTTATATTAAAAAAAAAATATTTTACTTTCATGTTAAATTCGACATCTTCAAACTTCATCGTCGCGTGAGACTCCAACTATAATCGTCCCCAAAAAATCACCAATAATCGCTTCCAATTGTTTTTAAATAACTAAATAACACATATAAACCTTGATTACGATTTTTAGACACATTTTCACTACAATTAAATTAATATTATTATCATTTAATTTATTTATAGGCTAGCGCTGGAAAAATGGAAGGGAATCCCGCCGTAGATTTGTCAGAAATTGAGCAAATTGTCAAAGAGAAAACGGTACGTGTACATTTGTCATAGTTTTTAGCATCCAACAATAATAATTTGCTTATTTCCTGCCCGCGCCACAGGAACAACACGAGGAGAAATCGAAAATATTAAAACCAAACGTAAACAACTGCGGCAATAGCAACAATGCAGATGTTTGCGCCAGCAACGGTTGCAGCACAGTTGGTAAGAAAACCGATGCTACAGACAGTTACGATAACAGCAACTCTTACAACCATGAGGAGGTGAGTCGAAGTCGAATGAATGAATTTTAACTCGAGGTCAATCGATTGCATGTTAAAAATAAAATCGCATCATAGTTGAGTTTTCACTTTCTTCTAATAATTAAAAACATACTTCCTTAGCAATTTGGTAACTACGAGTGATTATATTATAATTAAAACAAAAATTATTCAATTTCAGCGCAATACCGAGAACAGGGATGTTGAGAGTGCGCTTCGAATGCGTCAATACGCAATCGATGAGTTAATAACCACCGAAAAGTCATATATTGAGGACTTGAGAAGTATTGTTGATGAGTAAGTTAACGATTTTTAAGCACTGAAAGCGTGAACTTTGCATAAATTTTTGTTTTCTTTGCAACCGCAGTTACCTAGCCGAGGTGCTGGATCCCAAAAGTGATATACCCAAACCCGATGATTTGAAGGGCGGCAAAGAGCGCATGGTTTTTGGCAACATTGAAGCTATCTATGAGTGGCATAAGAAGTGAGTCAACTGCAACAGCGCAAAAAATGTGTGAAATTGTTAAAAAAAAAAATTTTTTTCATTCCTACAGATCCTTTTTGGAGGCGTTAGTGCGCTGCCGCAATTCACCCTCCGATCTGGGCCCCCTAATGAATCGTTATGAAAACAAATTCGAAATGTATAATAAATATTTTCAAAATAAGCCCGTATCGGATCATATTGTGACCATGCACCTGCTGTATTTTGACAAAATCAGACAGAATTTAGGTAGCCGCTTGGATGTGAGTGTTTAACCATAGCTTTAAAACAAAATATTTATACTAAAAACTTTAATTTTTGCGCAGCTCAACGATTTGCTCATAAAACCAGTGCAGCGATTGCCGAAATATGTTTTGTTATTCAAAGAGATTGCCAAATATGCCCGCGCCGCTGGGCGTGATGCCGAAGTGGTTGGCGTCGAAGACGCTAGGTGCATTATGAGTGTAAGTTTTCTACTCTTTTTCTTATTTAAATAACCGCAAAAAATCGATTTTCGCTGCAATATTGACATTAATAAACTTTTCGTGAACCTTTCAGACGATTTGTAAGAAAGCTAATGAAGCGATGGAATTGCGTCGTTTACAAAAATTCGAGGGTAAAATCAATTCCCAAGGAAAACTTCTATTACATGACAAACTCTACTGCATTGATGCTGAAAAAGCTGATCGCAATGCTTATATGTTGCAGAAACCGCGTGAACTTTATGTTTTCTTTTTTGAGCAGAGCATAATTTTCGCGGATATCGATGGCAAGAAACTACAATATAGTAGTCCAACATACACCTATCGCTCGCATATACAGGTGGGTTGAAATTCGAATTTATTTGGGTGTAAAAAATACTAAACATTTCTATTTAAGATGTTAGCGTAGAGTTAGCTTGGTAAATTGAGCTTTAAGTTTGAAAAATAGTTGATTTTTCAAAAATCCTTTGTATCATCATTGAAATTATTGTTTAACTTTGAGAACAATTTTTGGATTGCTCAAAATAATATTTTATATAAATTGAGTTAAATTTTGAAATAAAATAACCACAAAAACTATTCGACCTTTTAGAACAATATATTACTTTTTATGGTTTTTTTTTATTATTTTTTTCTTTAATTCATTAATTGTCTTACCCAAAGTGATTAAAATGGTTAGGTCGGTTTATAGATCAATTGCAAATTACAATAACAATAAAAAACTAAATTTCAATTTAATAAATTATTTTAATTTTTTAATAAAAAATTGTATTTTCCAGGTCAACAAAATGCAATTAGAAGAATTGGAAAACAATCGTTTTCAGCTCAAATCGACCGATCCAAATAAACCGGGCTTGAAGATAATTTGCTATGCGTCAACCGTGGAGTTGACCAACGAGTGGCTGCGCACCATACGCAATATACTGCAGAAGCAAATTGATTTAATGCAAGCCTTAACCAGCCCAATCGAATATCAACAACAGCAGCAACAACAGAATTAAAATTCACAAACAAACCTAAATGAAAACCTACAAAAACAACAAAATAGCAATCATGTACAATTATTTGCCACAAGACAAAACAACAATTTATAGAACACTATTTGAAATCTACTTAGATAGAAATATGTGCTTGAACATGGCAAAGCGAAATTTTAAATCAATGAAAGAGTAAAAATGCATACTAAGAGGAAATGCAAAGTTAAAAGTGGCACAAAAGTCAAAAGTGTTTACAAAGTGAGGCGCCAAGCGTTTGTATTGAAGTACTAAGACACACACGCTTTTATATTCTAACAGTTATTTTTATTTGTATGCTAAATGTCTTCATGTTGTACCCCCTTTGTATTAGTTGAGAGAAAGACTATATAAAAAACGCTCGCCAATTTCAAATTAGTTTTATCTAACGATATTCCCTTTGTTTTAGTGCTGCGGGTGCATTTTTATGTATGTCTATATATGATTTTCGCAATAAGTATTAGTCGTTAGTCTGGCTGTATTTATGTATGTACATAAGTCGGGCATGCAGCAAAATGCGTTTGTTATTGTGCAAACTGTTACATATTTACAACATAATTTGTATATTTGTTTACGCTTGCGCGTTGTAACGACCGAAAATTTGTTGTCAAAGGTATAAGCTATTTTAAAGCAATTTTAATTTTTCAACAAATTCAGTTAGTACTAGTGTGGAATTATCCAAAAAGTGAAAGCGCATGCTATATGCGTTCGATATTATATGTAATTTATTATTAATAATTTTAATTTTTTTTCTATAGCGAAGAAAACTATATCTAAATATATTTTATGGATAAGTACTGAGATAAGTACGGAGCAGAGTTATAAGTGTAATAAATTATAATTAAATGGAATGTTGAAACAGCTTGCATACTTAAGCTGCATACTGTATAATTTAAGTGATCCTAACGAGTGATTTATGCTGTTAAGAGATATGTATTTAATTTAATTTAACTCATTTTCTTTTATAAATTTACAAATATCTTTAATTAAGTAAAAAAATACAAAAAAGTTAAAATGGCAGTTTTATGTTTCATTTCAATGATTTTGTTCCACCAACAAGCATTGGTCGTCGCACGATGACATTTTATTATACCCTGAACGGGGTGTTTTAAGTTTGCCACAATGTTTGTAACACCCAAAAGGAAACGTCGGAGACTTTATAATATTAATATACCATATATAAATGATCAGCGTGACGAGCTGATTCGATTTAGCCATGTCCGTCTGTCTGTATATACTCGTACTAGTTCCTAAGTTTTTGAGATATCGGTATGTAATTTTGCACACTTCCTTTTCTCCCCAAGAAGCTGCTCATTTGTCGGAACCATACAAACTGGACGCGCAAAATCAAGTCCTTGTATGGAAATCTTTTAAATTTGACAAGATATCTTCACGAAATTTTTCACGAAGAAATTCGGGCAGATCGAGCAACTATAGTATATAGCTGCAATACAAACAACCGACCAAACTCACGCCCTTGTTTGCAAAACTTTTTTATTTGACGAGATATCTTCACGAAATTTGGCATGGATTATTGTCCAAGGCAGCGGTAGAATCTCCGAGATCGAATCACTATAGCATATTGTTGCCATACCGTTCAAAATCAAGTCCTTGTATGAATAATTTTTATTTGTGAAGCTATAATAGCTTCAGTGCAACCGAAGTTGACGTTTGTTTTTTGTTTCGTATATGTTTGACACGAAGGTAACAAATGTAGACGAAGAAGCATTGGAAAACTAATCTTTATTATTTGAATTACAATAATTTTCGCGACGCACAAGCTAACCAAAATGAAATAATTTCATAATCACATAATCAAGTGCAAATTAAATATACAAAATAAATATTTGAGTTTAATAAAAAAAAAATTTAAAAAATACTAACGACAATTACAATAGTCCATGTGTCATAAAATGATATGGAATAGCGAAGTATGTGCGCAAGTGCACATGTATGTATGTATATCTAGGTAAAGTGTACGTTTTAAGTCAAGCATCTCTAAATGTCGTAAGTGTGATTCAAGTTTAGAAATATGAAAATTAGTTAACGGTTAGGGCACAATGTACAGCATAGCATTTAAGCAAAAGGTTAAACATCAAATGTAATATCAAACGTTAGGTAATTGAGCGAGGTAAAGGCGATCAGCATATAACGGTTGATTGCAATCAAATTGGTTTTCATTAAAGTTTTTTCCTTTTTAGTTACAAATATGAAAACAGCAACGGTTTAAGCTTAGTTTTGTGTTAGAAATATAAAAAATTTTGTTCTCTGCGTGTGGCCATTCGACAAAATTGCGTCTGGCTGCATGTGTTTAAACAGAAAAAAATATGTTTAAAAAATTTTGAGAAATGTAATTTAAATTTAATTTTAGCACACAAAGTCTTATCTTAGCCTTGAAAATCTGTTTAGTTCGTTGAAGTTAAAATCGGGGTCTCGATCTTTTCTAATACCAACATCTGAGATTCAAAATAAAGTTTTCATTTTTAATTCCGGTTTTGGGATTAAAAATTTAAGTTTTTATTTTTGGGATTAAAGAATATTAAAAAATGTAAATGTTATTTTTAAATATAATAAAAATTCTAAAACTATTAATTTCTTTATTTTTAATCATATACTAGTGGTTAAATTTCGTTGCAATCCGTTATTTGGGATTACAAATTAAATAAAAATAAATATTTAATCCCAAAAGGATTACAATTCTTTTTTCATTTCCATGTCTGTGATTGCATTTTTTAAGATCTTCGGGATTACAAAATCAAAAAAAAAATTAATTCAAATGTTAATTCCAGTAATTTTGAATACATTATTGGCTACCCTGGTTAAAATTAACATAATTTTGAATAAACTTTAAAAATTATTAAAAAATTAATTGAATAAGATCTCTAGTAAAGCTTGAACATTATACAAGTATACTAGCTTTACTAGGCTATAGCACGCAGCAGATTTGGTTTGTTGTGAAAACGGTCAATTTATTTAAATATTTTGTTTTGTTTATGTTAATGTAGTATATTATACATTAAAACATTTATGGGCAAACTAGCGCTCTTTTATTTTTTATTTAATTTTTTTATTAAATTCTTTTTTTTTATATCAAGCTTTCGAAGTCCACAAAAATGAAATGAGACACTGAAAGACTTCAAAACAAATAAAATAGCCAAGTTGAATAATTATGGAAGCTAAATTTCTGAAATGCGCAAGTCATATACAGAAAGCAAGAAGGTATAAACACCTAGTTATACAAGATAAGTACTTAAATATAGCTAATGGATAAAGTTTTTTCTGAAAAGTCTTGAAATGTGTTTGTATGTGTAAAACTATGAAATTGAAGAATATTAGGAAGTAATAATAAGGCGATGGATATTGATATGTATTTTTTTACTCAATTACTAAAAAGGGTTAAAAAAAAATAAATCAAAAAAAATAATAATAAATGCAAGTACGTAATTGTGTATGTAAAGTTCATAAAACATTCTCACAACAATACTAAAAAACATGGTTTAAACAAATCTTTGTATGGCCGGTGCAGTAGTTAGCACTAAAGAGCGTTACAAGCAAATTACAAACGCATAATAAGTGCTTAATTCAAAATGCAAAACGAAAAAACCAATAGACATTAACACCAAAACTTATTGATTTTGACCTTTGATCACATGAATTTTGAAATTTTTTGTTTGATATAATGAATGTCTCTCATTACATCAAACAAAATATGTATGCACAGGCAAATATTTTTAGTGATTTTTGTGTGCACATTCATATGTATGTGGGCAATGCTTACACATACATATATGCACGTAGTTGCTTAAGTTTTATGTAAGTGTTACCAGTTATTTCTAATTGTTATCCTTTTAGTATAAAACATATTTAACAATCAATATTCCTCTTGGTTCTGTCGGTCACTCTCAACAAATACCGACAGAGCGCCAATTTAATGTCCGCCCTGATTACACTTTATGACTTTAAGGCATAGATCTCAAATGTGAATATATTTTGTTGAGCTAATTATGGTACAGTTTCAGAGACTTTTCCGAAATTTTAAGTCAACACGAACTGAGCACAATGCCAAAAAAAAATTTAATTAACACGTATCTAACATAGTGTTTTCTTTCTCCTTATTGCCTTACATCCTCACCAATTGGAATTTGGACTTTAATAAAATAAATTTCATAAGCAAACATTGTAGATAAATTTAATTACTATTTTAACTATAATCTATTATATTATCTAAAATCAACTAAGAATTTGCAGAGAAACTTGGCTTTCATAAAAATGGGTTTCTCACATAACATATGTATGTATATGAAATTATTAAAACATACTATATATACATAATATTACAGTATAATCACGGTTATACCACATACATACACACACGAAACCCCACGAAATTGCTGGTTTTAAGTAAAAGAAAAGAGCTTAGGTAATATATCTCAGAATTAGTGGCAAAATGTGTGTTTTAAAGTTTGAAATTAACATTCGTGCATACACACATGCACATAAAGGATGACAGTTTGTTGATGTTTATAAAAATAATACTGAATTTCGTATAACATGCAAACATTTTGAATTGAGTAATAATTCGTCAAGGTTCAACATATTATTTTTGCATGTGAAAGCAAAATACCAAACATCTCTTAAAATGTCTATCGCAAAAAACATAATAATTTGTTTCAATTTCTAATTAAATTAAATTGTAGTATTTATGGTAGTCAAAATAAAAGATGCATAATAATTAATTAATTAATAAATTATATATATTGCATATATATACATATATATCAAAGCGAGCAAAAAACAAAGAATAATATTAAATATTCACAGTAAGCAGAACATGGAAATAAAGGCATGATACTTTACTTCGAGAAAAAATAAAATTAAATAAAAATGTAGTTTTATTAGAAAAAGTAAATAATTTCTGTCTTAAAATGGTAGAGCCTTGCCGTAAATTACTGTATTATGTGTTTCGGTGGCATTTGCTTCAGAAGACCCCACAAATTTAAAGAGTATCAAGGATTTGGGAAAGGTTAATGTAAATAACCAAATCAGAATTTGAGTCCATACAGTAATGCAGTCGCTGAGTAGGCATCTATGATGTACGGCATGAAGCGATGTCTTGAAGATTTCCCTGCCCATAAGAAAGTTTGATGACTAGTTTTCTAACACTTTCTATCACATTGTAAATTAAAAAAATTCAGCATTTTCTCCGCATTTTTCCCCGGAAATTCGGTATCTTATCTCTTGTTCCGTAGTGCTTCGCGAAATGTTGTAGAAAGGACCGAAACCAGAAATGTATAATGAATCACAATTTACGTAGAACTATTTTGTCATGTCAGAAAACCAATAATTACCGCCAAAATAATCGCATCCATAGAGGTAATAATTTTGCACCACCTTGTAGCAGGAAATCGCATGATATCTCCCGACCGGATATATATACTTTTTGCTACGGTCATACAGACTACACTCACTACAAGTGAGTAGACGATCGCACTTTTAAAAAGAATAGATATTTAATTTAATAAAAAATGGTCAATTCAACTAACAATGTATATTTATATATTTAAAGCCATTTATTTCATAGAAATTTCACAAATTTTAACCATAACTAATTATGTGGACATTCTGTGTTGTTCCAATTGAATTCCAAAACGTTTCAATTGCCAGAATCCAAAAACATTCTCTATGTCAAGGAATATTAAATTGCTGAATAATTGCGAAAATAGTGTCGTTGTTATAATATTAAGTATAAACGCAATTATATTTGCAATAAATTAGTTAAACTCAAGAAATTTCACTTACGGAATACGTTTACGGTAAAAACGAAAGTGATGGAACTGATTCAGAAACATTTGTCGAAAATTCGTGTACCATGCGATAATACACCAATTTATAAAGATGAATGTGTCTATTCATTTGATACACCGGAAACTCCAACAGGACTTTACGTCAGTTTAAGTAGTTTTCTAAGCTTTGGTGAGCAGTATGTAAAAAAATATGCTGAAAAGACTGGAAATGCAGTATTCCTGCATATACATCGTGTGAAGACACCTAAAAAGGGTGTCGCTGCTGCCGATGAAGGAGGGCCGGAGCGCAAAATCACCCGGTTAGCTATTGGAGTGGAGGGTGGTTATAACGACGTTAACGATAAGACATATGATATTAAAGATACTCATAGTATTGTGGTTATGCCGGATATTGATAAGAAATTCCCATTCCCTAATGAAGAATTCCCACTACTTGTAACCCAATCTGTAGAGGCATTGCTAGCACAAGAGTCTGCTATAGCCAAACTTGAAAAACAAACACTAATGGGTAAGCTATCAAAAGCAAAAAATGGTAACGACATAATACAATAATTATTTTCCTTTAAGGCACATGGGATGGAGAGGTACGCCAAGTTTCAAAATATGCAGAGTCTTTAATACAATTAGATAATGGCAAGAAAATACCGCCATCTGGTTGGAAATGTGAAAAATGCGATTTAACCAATAATCTTTGGCTCAACCTTACCGATGGTTCCATACTTTGTGGGCGTAAATTCTTTGACGGCTCCGGTGGTAATGATCATGCTGTGGAGTATTACCGAGAAATGGGGTATCCATTGGCTGTTAAATTGGGTACAATAACTGCTGATGGCAAGTCTGACGTTTTCTCGTACCCGGAAGACGATATGGTTATTGACCCGCACCTGGAAAAACATCTAGCTCATTTCGGCATTAATATGGCAGCCATGAAAAAAAGTGAAAAGTCAATGGTTGAATTAGAATTGGAAATTAATCAACGCATTGGTGAATGGTCATTGTTGACCGAAAGTGATAGTGAGTTGCAGCCACTGGCTGGCCCAGGCTACACCGGCATGCGAAATCTCGGCAACTCATGCTACATCAATAGTGTAATGCAGGTAAATATCTATCTTCACTATTTACATTTTCTTAATTCTATAGTTTATGGCATAATGGAAATTCTCTATTTCTAAAAAGGTAATGTTCACACTACCCGACTTCATCAAGCGATACGTAGGAGAAGGATCGGAGAAGTATTTTAACGCATTTCCAGCTGATCCCGCTAATGATTTTAACATTCAAATGGCTAAACTTGGTAACGGTTTATGGTCCGGCAATTACAGTAGCATTTCGGAGAATTCGTTGGATTCCGAAAGTACCGGCATTTCACCTGCTATGTTCAAAAATGTCGTGGGTAAAAATCACCCCGATTTCAGTACGAAACAACAACAAGATGCTTTTGATTTCTATTTACACCTTATCAATATAATCGAACGCAATTCGCGGCATGAAACTAATCCAGTAGAAGGGTTTACAATTAGTTTAGAGGATCGTGTCGAGTGTATGAGTAGCAAGAAAGTGAAGTATACACAACGAGACGACTACTGTTTACCATTGCAAATACCTTTGGAGAAGGCCACAAATTTAGATGAGGTCAAAGAATATTTAGAACGCAAAGCTGCCGATGGTGCAAACAATAGTGGTGACAAAAATATAGTGCGCCACAAAGTGCCACTACATGCATGTTTAGAACGTTTTTTCGCAACTGAGGTGCTTGAGCAATTCCACTCGACAGCGGCTAATTGCATCACCACTGCCAAAAGGTCTACTAGATTAGTAAATATGCCAGATTTCCTGCTGTTGCATTTGCGAAAGTTCACACTGGGCTCCGATTGGGTGCCTAAGAAGTTAGATGTATCGGTTGACATGCCGGACGAGCTAGATCTCAGCAGCTGGAGAGCCACTGGTATGCAGCCAAATGAACAGCCACTACCAGAAACGGACGACAAGCCGAAGTTTTCTTTCGATGAAAATCTAATGGGTGAACTAATGCAAATGGGTTTTCCACAAGAGGCCTGCAAACGTGCTGTATTCCATACTAAAAATATTAGTCTAGAAGCAGCTTCAAATTGGCTGATGGAGCATATTGGTGATGCCGACATTTCAGAACCGTTCGTTTTGCCCGCTGGTGGCATGGGCGACAGCAAAGCACTGAATTTCATTGCGAACCCCGAAAGCGTTGCTATGCTAATGAGTATGGGCTTTGAAGAACGCCAAGCGACTAAGGCATTGAAAGCTACCGATGGCAATATTGAGCGCGCGACGGACTGGATATTTTCCCATGCTGAGGACATGGACACTGATGAGATTCAACCAGAACAGACTGATAATGACGCGGGTAATACACGTAAAAAGTCGTATCGGGATGGTGTAGGCAAATATAAGCTCGCAGCTTTCATCTCACATATGGGCACTTCAGCACAAGTTGGGCATTATGTATGCCACATACTGAAAAATGGACGATGGGTGATTTATAATGATAGTAAAGTAGCACTTTCGCAAAATCCTCCGAAGGATCTCGGTTATTTGTATTTATATAAGCGATGTGAGTAAATTGCAAATACCAAGAATTTGGATAAATGTGCATTTCGAATGAACTTGCCTTTATTACGATATATTATATATTGAATTCTTAAAGTATGACACTTAGTATTAAATGCAAAGAACTGAAAAAACTTTAATACTTCAAGAAGAAAATCTTATTAATGCTGTTAAAATGATAATTTTTTGTCGCGACGAATAAAATTTCAATCGGATACAAATTTTCAAAATTTGTTGCAATATAGCAGGCATAACTCATTATGCTAACAGCTAGTGTAATACATTTAATTTTTTCATTCATCTTTTTTTATGTTACTGTCTCTTGTCCAGGTTGGTTTCATAATGCTTTCCACAATATTATTAAGTTTGTCGCTAAAGGCGCCGAATGAGAACTTTTGTTGTACCCGCTTGTGTCCCATTACACCCATTCTTTCCCGCAACGCGTCGTCCCTGTATATTTGTAACATTGCTTCTGCAAATCGTTGCGGCTGCTTCTCACACAATAATCCTGTAGAGTTGTGCACAATCGTCTCTGTTGGCCCACCACTGTTAACAGCTATCACTGGTTTCGACATGTACATACCCTCCAGTGGCACAATACCAAAGTGCTCGTTATCGGGTGTGTATAAAAGACAGTTTGATTTATAGAGTAACACGAATTTTTCATCATCATTCAGAGAACGCAGCAGTAATACACTTTCTTGCAGACCGAGTTTATTAACCAGCAGTCGAAGCTCATCGTAATGCTCCAAATTTTCTAAAACACGTTCATCGTAGCCACCAGCTATTACTAAACGACAACGTTTCGATTCCGTAGGTGGTAAAGAATCGATCCCTAAACGGAAGGCATGTAAAGCAAGAGCGTGATTTTTCTTACGCTCATATCGATTAATATCCAGAAAAACAAATGCATTTCGCGGTATATCTTCACAACCATTTACGCCGAATTTATTACTTTGTTTAGCTGATATTTGGTTTTTCATTGCGTCGAAATAATCGGTATTTAAGGTTGGATATAAAACGTCGGGCACCATCTGCAGCCGATGAAATGTATCACCGAACACACGTAAAGTAAACTTGGAATTTACGAATGTTACATCGGCCATACCAATGGTAAGCTCTTCCATATAGTTTAGAGGTGCGCGATAGACACTTTTAAGATAACCCTCTCGTGAGCTTAATAATTGATCGGGAAAATGACAGTAGAAAAGAATTTTAGGCCGGCTTTTAGCTAGTTTCAATATAGGTACTCCAACAGAAATTTGATCGCAGAAGAATATATCAATATTTTCACGTCGCGACATTACAAACGATGCATACAAGGCAGCATACATCATGCGAAAATAGGCACATAGTGCATAGAATCGTCCAAATATCTTACGTGGCAACCAGTCGCCAACGACTTCGACTCGCAAAGTGCCGTCTGAAGTTTCTTTAAAACAATGCGTTGGATCATGGTGATTTGTCAAGAAGCTAACCTCGTGGCCTCGGGATT